ATGTCTTGACCCTGTATTCCAGAGCCCTGTTGTTCCAAGGTTGTGCAAACATCATTGTTTACCTCTGTCCCACTTAGCCCATGCAAACCTGCCTAATAGTTTTTCCATCTGCTTTGTTCTTCCATTCCCCTCCCCCTTCTTGTGTATTGCCCTCCTAGGTAAGACCCAAACTATCCTGTGTCTATTCCCTACTGTGTGCTCCACCTTCCCCTCTCTCCCCTTACCCACTCCCCATATACCAGTAACCAGCAAAGAGTCCTCCCCCCTTTAGTATGGGTTCTTTTTCTTAGTCTTTTACAACAGTGGCCCTATGCAATATTTCTCCTTTTGTGACTGACTAATTTTACTCAACATAATGTCCTCAAGGTTCATATATGTTATGCAGTGACTTGCAGCTTCCTTGTTATTCTTCAAGGTAGCATAATATTCCATTGTGTGTATGTACCACAGTTTGTTTATCCATTCTCCAGTTGATGGGCACTTAGGCTCTCCCCATCTTTTTGCTATTATAAATAGTGCTGCTATGAACATTGGTGTGCATATAGCTACTGTGGATAGTCTTTATTTGTGTTTGTTTGGCTCAGCACTGTGTGTGTGAAGTTCATCCTATTCTTGCATACAGCAGTTCATTCTTTTTCATTATTGTGTTGTTTTTAATTGTATGAGTACTATACAGTTTATCCATTTTAAAATAAATGAACATGTTTCCAATTCTGAGTAATTATGAATATTGCCTCTTCTGGTGAGCATACACCTAGGAGTGGAATAGTTGTATATTTTAATTTTAGTTATAGTAATAGTAGACCTTAGTAGTTTCATCACTATGTAGCTACAACACAAGAATTAAATGTAATAATAATATAACTCAATATTCTAGCAACTGACTATGTATATATATATATATCGAGCAAAAGAGAGAGGTTTTTTTAAGTTCATGGAAAATGAGTATTATGAAAAAACTACGTATGGATTTCAAAATTGTTTACACCAACATAAACTCATACTAACTTATTATGGTGTGGCACTATGGGCTTCAGACTGAAAAACCTTTTGAACTTCAAGGTCAGCGGTTCAAGCTCACCAGCCATACCTCGGAAACCCTATACACAGGGTCACTATGGGTCTGAACCAACTCAATGGCACTTAACAACAGCAAAAACTTGTTATAAACTTGCCTGAGCAGGAAATAGTTTGAGGCATTAAGAAAAATAAGATACCAGTTTGGCATTATCCCTCATCAGAATAACATAAATTCTATAAAATTGAATCAAGAAGAAGCACTAAATTTATGCTGAAGTTTGGGTGGAAGAATATTGAAATCATTGATGCTTTGCAAAAAGTTTGTTGAGACAGTTGTCCTAAAGAAACCACCAGTTTACAGATGGCCAACTCATTTAAGTAAGGAAAGACAATGTTGAAGATAAAGTCTGTAGCAGCCACATAAATTTTCAAGGAAAAAAATTACTCCTGTTCATGCCCTAATTAAAGAGGACCAAAAATTAACAGCAGAAATAATAGCCAACACCATAAGTATACCAAGCATTTCAGTTTACAAAATTCTGACTTAAATTTTAAAGTTGCATGAACTGTTGGCTCATTGGGACCAAAATTACTGAGTGAGCCTAGATCCACTTTAGACAAGAGTAGAGCTTTCAATAAAAATTTTAAACAAGGGGATCAAGATCCTGAAGGAGTTCTTGAAAGAACTGTAACAGGAGATGAAATACAGCTTTCACCAGCACGATCCTGAAGACAAAACACAATTAGAGCAATGACTACCAAGAGGGGGAAGTTGTCCAGGCAAAGCAAAAGCAAACAGGTAAAGAGCAAAGGTCATGGTCACAATTTTTTGAGATGCTCAAAGTGTTCTGTTTGATGACTTTCTGGAGAGCCAAAATACAATAATATCTGCTTATTAGGAGGGTGTTTTAAGAAAGTTGACCAAAGTTTTTGCAGGAAAAACACCCGCAAAAGCTTCACTAGAGAGTTCTGGTTCATCATGACAATATTCCTGCTCATTCCTCTCATCAAATACAAGCTTCAATGGGAAATCACTAAGCATCCACCTTTCAGCCCTGATTTGGTTCCTTCTGACTTTTTTTTGTTTTCTAATTTTAAAAAATCTTTAAAAGGCACCCATTTTTCTTCACTAAAAATACAAAAAAGACTGTATGTTGTTGTTATTATTAATGACTCATAGCTACCCTGTATAGGGTTTCTGAGGAGTGGCTGGTGAATTTGAACCACCAACCTTGCAGTTAAAATCAACCTTGCAGTCCTGCACATCATCCCATAGCACCACACCAGGACTCATGGTTAAATATCTAGGAATCTCAGCTCTTAATGGATGGATTAAATGGCTGGTGTCATGGCTTACAAAAATGTCTTGACCCTGATGGAGCTTATGTTGCAAAATAAAGTTTATAATTTTTGTTTTTATCTTTTAATTGCATTTTTCCTTGAGCTTTTAGACGTCTCCTCGTATTGAAGACTCCTTGTGTAGTGTTTGTTAGTAGTAATGGTGGTGGTGGTGGTGTACCATGGAGTTGGTTCCAACTCATAGCGACCCTTAGGGTTTCTAAGGTTGTAAATATTTACTGGAGCAGAAAAACTCATCTTTCTCACATGAAACAACTGGTAGGTTCAAACTGCTGTCTTTGCATTTAGCAGACTGACTCCTAATGTTTATGCTACCAGAGCTCCTTTTAGTAGTAACAGTGAATATTCTGGTGTGGGGCTGTGGATCAGCACTGGACTTAAAACCACAAGGTTAGCACTTCAACTCTACTAGCTGCACCTCGAAATCCCATACACATTCACTATGAGTCGGCACCAACTCCACAGCACTTAACAACAACAGTGACTACTAATTTATCTGAGTATTCCATTATTAAATATATTAACATTAATTTTTTTGGTATTTTTCAATATTATTATAATAAGGAGTCCTGGTGGTGTAATGGTTAACTGTTTGTCTGCTAACTGAAAGGTTAGCAGGTTGAACCAATCCTCAAAAGATAGACCTATCAATATGCTTACATAAAGATTGGTGGTATTGTGCCATGGAGTTGGTTCTGATTCATAGCGACCCAGAATAGAGTTTGCAAGGCTGTAAGTCTTTGCAGGAGCAGAAAGCATCATCTTTCTCCTGCAGAATGACTGGTAGTTTCCAACTGCTGACCTTGAGGTTACCAACCCGACTTGTAACCATTACACAAAAAATCCTATGAGGGATTAAGGTTGCTATGAGTCAAAAACGATTTAATGTTATCTAACAGCTGCTCCTCAGAAACCCTATACAGGGTCGCTATGGGTTGGAACCGACTCGTTGGCACTTAACAACAACAACAACAACAGCTGCTCCTCAGAAACTCTATACAGGATCATTATGGGTCGGAACCAACTCGACGGCACTTAAAAACAACAACAGGTGCTCCTCGGAAACCCTATACAGGGTCGCTATGGGTCAGGACCCACTCGACAGCACTTAACAAGAATATCAACATATCAGGAAGAGTAAAACATGTATATGTATAATTCTAGTTATATTTGTAGAATTACTCATTATTACTTAGCTTGGGTATTTTTTCACATTTTATAAGGTACCTTAATGTGCATTTTCTCATGAGGACATAGAAAAATTCAGGTTTGGTGACACATGATTCTTTCTTTTTTTACTTTTCAAAGAAAGATATCAGGAAAAGATACCTATATACATACTGATTTCTTTTATAAGATCTGTTGTTGTACACTGTTGAATCAATACAGATTCATAGCAACTGAATTAACCTTCTGCATAGGATTCCCTAGGCTTAAATCTTCACAGGAGCAGAGTTCCAAGTCATTTCTTCCATAGAGCTGCTGGAGAGTTCAAACCACCAACATTTTTGTGTTATCAGCCAAATTCTTAACCATTGTGCCACACATATGTTCAAAAAGAGGCTTCACAAAGTCTGTGGGAAATAGAATGAAAAGATAATGGAATTTTTTCACAATTGTATTAGCAAACATTTCATGAAATGATACTACAGCAGCTTGAGAATCATATGGAAAGCAGGAGATAGATAAAGGAGAAGCTTTTTAAAATAAAATGGCAGCAATGAGACAAAACTAGAATCCAGGCACCCAGAATCAGTTCAGTGTTTTTTCATAGATGATTTCACTCAACTGTTTTGAACAGAGCAACTTTCAAGAGCTTCTAAGCTGAGTTGTTTTTTCCTACCATTTGTGCTGATTTCGGTTTGTTCTCCTGATAGAGATGGTGAATGTTTGATAAGACCATATCTTAAAAATCTAAAAATACAATCTCTAACCAGGATGCAGGTTTTGTCTTTTCCTAAAAAATATGATTTCCAGCAAGAAAAAACTCAGAGAAGAGGAGGAGGTTTTAGGTACATGACATGAGTTCCTAAACATTTGGAAAAACTCTAATGTTTTCATATGTGATGTGAAAATTATGGCATTTGAATGCCTGCTTCTATGAACATTTTTCCCAGTTTTGCCATTATATTTTTTCTACTCTATTTTGTTTGGAGACTGGAGAATTGTTGCTTAATGGACTTGAGACAAAATGATTAGGCCAATCTAAAATACCAGTTCTACTTTCCCCTGACAATTTCTATGAGTGTGGCCCAATTAAGTAACCACTCTGCCTCAGTTGTCTCTAGTACAAAAGCAAATGAAATATTCCTAACTCCCATTGGGAGGTTATGTGATATGTGATATATTGGAAGAAAAGTCACTTGGGAAGTGGTTGGCCTTCCAATTTAAGATAAATTTTGGGCTTTAGGTACTTTGAAGAAGGCTTTTCTGAGGAAGCAGGACAGTTGATCTACAATGGTGAGTATAGTCCCTACTTTTTATCCTATCCCTTTATATGACTTTGTGTTTGTGCATGCGTGCTCACATGCGCACACATACATGAATCCCATACATGCATAAGATTGCCTGTGTGCCTTTCAACTGTCTAGAAAGCAACCATTAGTGGTCATGAGGAGTCCCGGAAGGAGCAGAAAAAAGCATAAGTGACTGTTCAGAGCCTCCAGACTCACTAATAATGAAAGGGAGTCCTGATGTGGTGCTGAAGGATAAAGCACTGGGCTGTAAGTCAATTTGAATCTCAAAGTCAGTGGTTCAAACTCACCACTCCTGGGAAACTGGGTCATTATGAATCAGAACCTTCTTGACTGCACTTAACAACTATGTTATGTTAATTTGTGCTCAGGTAGCAACCACTGCTATAGAAAAGAAATTCATAAAATATGTGCATTGATGTGTACCTGTTTATGTTTGTAAGTGCATACTCCATGTGCTTACTTTTTTGACAGGGGATTCTATCCACAACTTTGATATGTAGCTCAGTGAGTGTATGTTTTTCTGAATCTAAACATGAAAGCAATTGTTAAGGCAGTATATCTATAGTCTACAAGCCCCAGTGGCACAATGGTTAAGTGCTCAAAGTTTTAAGTTTGAAACCACATGAGATAAACGACCTGGCAATCTGCTCCCATAAAGAATACAATCCAGGAATTCTCCTCTGTCTTTTAGGGTCACTGTGAGTTAGAATTGACTCAACAGTACACGGCTAATAATGCATTTATATTTGGAGTCATTTGCAAACATGTGGCTATCTAATGTGATTGTGTGGTTATATAAGGTGAAGGACATGCATAAATGTTAAAGTATGCAATTGTGCGTGTGTGTATAAATGTGTGTGTCCTAGCCTGCTTTTCTATGACCTTTGCCCAATTACTTGACAGGGTACTCCAGCCATGGGACCAGTTTTGAAGATGACTTGACCCTTGGAGCAGAGGGTAAGAGTCACAGCTTTCCAAGGTTGTGATCAGGGAACAGGGTATATAGTGGATGAATGGAAGGAGAGTAGTGCAGAAGGAAACAGCCCATTCCTGGGTTCTTATATATAGGGAAAGAGAAGTCTCATTATGATCTAAGGTAAGAGTCATGTGTCCAGAAACATCCTTGCAAACCTATAAACTACCTGCTAGCCCATCATTCCCCTGGGAAGGTAACTTAAATTCTTCATTACATTTGCTGCCTATACATCTTTGTAATGATTTCTGTTTAGTTACAGGATGCCCCAGCACCTGTAAGAGAGAGACTTAACTGCAGGAGGATAAGGGCTTGAATAAAGAAAGGAAACATAACAACTTGCAGTGTCTTCTGGGACTAGTAGAGACTCATATGGTGGGACAGGAAGAAGTACTGGCCTGGGGGGGCAGGGGAGGAGGGTTGTATACTCTGTCTTCTTTTAAGACCGAGGGACTCTTGCCCAGAACGCTAATCATAGGTCAAAAGTATAGAGGCTCAGGGTCAACTGTTCTCTGTCATACCTAACCCTTTACAGGACTTTGTTTGATAATCTTCGGACACTCTTAAAAAGAGGAAATTTCATGGAGTTCAACTAGTCTGTAGTAGTGATGTAGGCCATTTTTTTCTTCTAACTTGATCATTGTCTTTTGTTCCTTGTCTAGCCACCCTGTTGGCTGCCAATGGCAAACACTTCTCCAGGTAAGTATAAATCAGCCAGAACTAGTGGATTGGGCTAGGTATCAGAGGCAAAGAAATAAAAAACAAAGAGGTACGTATTCTGGATTATCCAACCAGGAATGGGATTTGAGACTGAATTTCTTTAGTCTTGAATGCAAAGTACTGACCACCTACAGAGTTTGTGTGACTTCACCTCTGATCTCTGCAGAACTTTCCTGGAGACAGCCCGGCCTGGCCAGCTGCTCGATCTCGGCTGTAGTTTGGCCTCCAGTAGCTTGACTGGTGGAACCAATAAGACTAGTTCAAGGTAGGTACTAAGATTAGTAGGGGTGGGAGAGTGGGGAAGATGAGGCATAGAGGAAAGCCATTGACTTTTTTTTTTTTTCTGTGATATTTTATTGAAAGCTTTTATTCAGTCAGAAACTTGAGAAGTGTGAACATATTTGTTTCAAGAATAGTGGGGATGCAGAGAAATCCACTACTCAGAGATGGACACTAAAATGCAGGCCTCTTCTTTCACTGCACATTATAGATTAGGAAGTATAGTACTGGTATCATAGCAGTTCCTGAATTCATAGTAGGTGCTCATTAAACAATGTATTAATCAACTGAATTGATTGAGCAATAAAATATTCAGGCAGTCATGAAATTTTTGATGTCCTAATGCAAACCAGTCAATGATTCTATGTAATTTGAAAAGATGAAGCAGACCCATAGGTGATCAACAATTTGATAGGGTGGACAAGTAACTCTAAAGTAAGGCAGCAAATAATTAAAACTAGTGTAGTATAAAAGGAGCTCTGGTAGCGTAGTGGTTATGCATTGGGCTGTAAACTGCAAGGTCAGCAGTTCGAAACTACCAGCTGTTCTGTAGGAGAAAGATGAGGCTTTCTGCTCCCGTAAAGATTTACAGCCTCGGAAACGGTCGCTATGGGTCGGAATCAACTCGACAGCACTTAACAACAACAACAACAGTGTGGTATAATGAAAAGTGTCCAGGAATTTGAGTCAAAGTTTGGACTTCAGACTTGGTTCTGAAACTTATTAGTCATCCGACTATGTTTAGTGATTTATCCTGATTTAGCGCTGGCAGCAGCCTAGATCAATTAAAGCATAATCTCTGGAGTGGGACACAGGTATCTATAGTTTGAGAAATTCACTCCTTCTAAAGTGTGGCCATTATTGAGAACCATTGATTCGCAAATAAGGTACTTTAGGATCATGGAGGTAAAAATAGCACTATGGTGGCAAGCACAAGAGTAGATCCAGGAATCCGGACCATCCAGCTATAAATTAAGTAGGATGGTCCCTATTTGGATTGAAAAGCCCATCACCTCTTCTGAAGAGAGGAACAGCAATTATTCAAGGCCTCAAGTCATAGTTTCTTCTACCTCCACTGAAGCTTGTCATACATGGTTATTGAGAACTAGTATCTTCCAATTTAGTGCTCAGATTAGGATGTAATCGTGGTGGTGTGCTGTCAAGTTGGTTCCAAGTCATAGGTGGCTTACATGTTGCTGTGATGCTGGAGTCATGCCACCAGTATTTAAAATACCATAGTGGACAGGTTTCAGCTGAGCTTCCAAACTAAGACAGACTAGGAAGAAGGAAAGGCATACGACCTTTAAACGTTTAGCCACTGAACACTGTATGAATAGCAGTAGAATATTGTCAGAGAGCACCAGAATCTCAAGCGTACCAACAATTGTGAGGCTGACACAAAACCATGCAGTGTTTCATTCAATTGTTTGTAAGGTTTCAATGAGTTGAAACTGACTAGATGGCATCTAACAACAATGAACCTTTACAAGAGCAGAAAGCCTCATCTTTCTCCCACTGAACCACTGGTGGATGCAAGCTGCTGACCTTGCAGTTAGCAGTCCAATGTGTAACCCACTGTGCTACCAGTGCTCCTTAGATTTGGATGTAAACACAGATTAATGTCATAGCAAGAGAGAGAACTTGATCCTCTCCAAAATAAGATAAGTGACTGGTTAATAAATAACAGCAAGCACATTTCTTTGCATTTATACTGCTTTTTATTTTTCATGCCTCTCATATTTTCATTCATTTGTAATAAATTGCTCAAAGTAATATACCAGAATCTTACTCATTGTGTGTGTGTGTGTAATCAGTGCAATCCTTACATTTCAGAGAGAGAATTTAAGTTCTGAGAAGTTGAATCTTTTTTTAAAGAAAAAAATAGAGAAATTATCAGAAAAGAATCTGTCTCTTTTCACTTTCATTAGATATTCTACATCATACTCTGTCTTAAACTTGTCCCCTGTTTACCTAATTCTTTTTTCAGCATCTCAGAGATTCTAGACAAGGTGCAAGAAGATGCAGAAGATGTTCTCTTCAGTCTGGGATTTGGCCAAGAGGACCAAAAAGATACTTCTCGAATCCCTGCCCGATTTTTCACCAACCCCTCTAAAGCCAAGGGTATTGATTTCCAGCTCTTTCTAAAGGCTCAGGTGCGGAGGATTGAGATGGAAGACCCCTGCCTAATGCTGGCCAGTGAGTGTTATCCAGGTTCTGCTTCCACAACCCCACCACCACCACCGTTTTTCGAGACTTCCACCAGAACAAGTTGCTATTGAGTCAATTCCAACGCATCTCAACCCAATGTGTGTCAGAGTCAGACTGTGCTCCATAAGGTTTTGAGTGACTAATTTTTCAGTGGTAGATCCTGAGTCATTTCTGGGTGGGGTTGAATGTCCAACCTTCCAATTAGCAATTGAGTGTGTTCATTGTTTGTATTATCCAGGGACTCCAGCAGGACTCAGTGTCTTCAAGTCTTATTTTCTCTTGCTTGTTACATTTAGTCATTTGTCTCTTGGGTCTGTCTCCTTGTTGTTTTTTGTTTGTTTTTATTGTGAATTGAGTGATAGTTTACATGGGATAACATCAGTTTTGCATTCATACTATCGTATTTTGTTTCATTGCAATGATTACAATCCCCTCTATGCATCATCATTCAACAGCATTTACTTCCATTCCCTCTGAGGGAAGTACGCGGAAGCACTCAGGAATATATAACCATTCAAACAACAAAAGGGCATACCCTGCAAGCCTGCCCCCTGGCCACCAGCACACAGTCCCTCTCCCTCCTTGCGTCTAGAGTCGCCAGCCACTCCATCTCTCTGTGTCATCATCTCTGCCTCCATCTCTGGCATCGCTACTCCTCTGGATAATGTTCTGCACTCCACTCTTCCCCCTTGATGGTCCTTGAATCCTCCACTCCTTGACTGCAAGATCAACCACTCCCCTCCTTTGGTCACAAAACATCTACCTTTACATTGCAACATTCACATTCAGTCCTGATAGCAATTATTCAGTATTGAACCACAAGAGTCTTATCCCCATCTCCTTTCACCAGCCCCATCTAGACAGATTGGAAACCACCTTGTATTTTGTTTTCAGTGAAGATGGATAATTTTGATTTTTGCTTCTTTCTAGAGATTGTCTTCAAGAGGTATTGGAACACTATTGCTGCCCTTAGGCCTTCTCTCCTTTAGCTGAATCAAATCAGCACAATCTCTTGAAATTTTCTTCCTGATTTTTCCTGGGTTTGTTGTTGTTGTGTTTTTTTTTTTTTTACTTTATATTTCTCAGTTGGAGGGATAAAGTGGTCTCCATTTATAGTCACTACATTAAAATCACTTCCACTTAGAGCAGTGGTTTTGAAGGCTAAATATGTCAAGTCATTCAAGGAGTTTATAACACATTTATATTCATAGGCTTTACTTCCAGAGAGAGAGAGAGGCTCAGGAATATTGATTTTAAACAAGCACTCAGATAATTCTTACGTGTAAGTCTCAGACATATCTAGGGAAACAATGATGTAAGTTTTCCCAATTCCATATGGGAAGACATGGGAAGAATATCTTTCCTTTTACAGATATAAAAATTTTTATTTAATTCTATGTATTAAAATATATTTAAAATTATATTCTACTCCACCAACAACATCATGGCATTTCTGACAGTTTTGTCTGAGATTCTTTAAATTAGATTTACTTTAAATTGTTAGTCAAACTAGACTCCTGAGCTCAATCTACTGAATTAAAGATTGGATTGGAGTAATTTTTACATGCATTTTTTATTACTTTTACAAACACTAAAATTGGAAAATTATTTATTGAACTTATTTTATGTGCCAGGTGCACGACTAGTGTTAGATTCTTGAAAAACAGCAGGTACACCAAAGAAACATGGTTGTCACTTTTAAGAAGCTTAAAATTTAATGGACCTATGGTTTATGTGGTGCTGTAGAATAAGTACTGGATTGCATGATCTGTTGAACTGTAAGTCGACAGTTCAAACTCACCAGCAGCATCTTGGAAACTCTACACAGGGTTGCTAGGAGTCAGAACTGATTCAACAACAACTGTGCCACAAAGGAACCCTGGTGATACCGTGGTTGAAGTGCTCAGCTGCTAACAAAAAGATAAGTGGTTGGAATCCATCAACTGCTCCACCCGGATAAAGATAAAGAAACCATAGGGGTAGTTCTTTGTTCTATAGGGTCACTATGAGTTGGAATCAACTCAACAGTAATGGGTTTGTTGTTGTTCTGTGGCAACTGTTAAGATGTAATATCAGTTCTATGAGACTGGTGCTTCTCAAAGTGAAGTCCATAGTCCAGTAGCAATTATATTACCTGGGAGCTTGTTATAAATGTAGACTCTCAGATTGCATGCCAGTTATTCTAGCAATATCCTTTGGTGATTCATAGCACATACACACTTATGAAACAATGTAAAGAGATTTTTAATGACCTGATCAATTTCTTATTTTGTTTTCTACTTCCTTCTGTGTTAGTTAAGTAGATCATGTTTTTATAAAAATTTGTCCATTTCATCTAGATTTTCAAAATTTTGCATTTTCTCCTTTTTTTTTGCTAGATTTATTTGACATGGTTTCTAGATTTTGCTAATCCTTTCAAAGAAACAACTCTCTATTAATCTTATGGATTTTTCTTTGTAGGTCTTGTGTTTTCTCTAATCCTTTGTCTATTTTGTTTGTTTATTCCTGATGTGTTTCTCTGAATTTTTCCTTGCTTTCCTTGAACTTTATATCATATTGTTGTCGTTAAGTGCCATAGAGTCTGTTCCGGCCCATAACAACCCTGTATAGGGTTTCTGAGGAGCAGCTGGTGAGCTTGAATCACCAACCTTGTAATTCAAACAGCATTAACCCACAGCACCAAGAGGTACCTAAATATCATTCTCTTGAATTCTTTTTCTGCTAGTCCTAATGCCTTTTTTTTCCCCTTAAAAACTTTTTCTAACTGTGCCACTTCGCCGCTTGTTTGGCCGTTCAATTTTGTTTCTTCAGTGAACAGAAATTGTCTGTTGCTTCCAAGACACTGTGGTGATGTTGTATTTATAGTTCATTGATGATTGTATGTTGGTGTGTTCTTAGCCACTCACCAACTGCCTCCTGGTGGGTGTGAGTAGGGTATGGAAACATGTGCACCCTTCTTTGTTCACCATCCATGAAGTTTAGTTTAGTACAGGTTTGGCTAATGTTGACTGTTGTCATTGATCAGTTATATAAGACCTGGTTTTGGCTCATTCCTGGTAGGTGTAGCTGTAGATGGTATGATTGTGGCTGGACTGTTTGGACATGGTTGCTGTCTCCTATTGAATGAGGTGAGAGGAAAAAACACGAAGCAAGAAGGAAAAGAAACAAACAAGCAAACAACAATGAAAAAAGAAAATAGTAAAGAAAAAAATTTTTTTTTAAAGAAGGCAACAGCCAGAAAAAGAGGAAGAGAAAAATAAGAGAGAAAATTTAAAAAAAAAAAAAAAAAGAACTAAGCACAATTAGGGAGAGGGACAAGTAACAGGGAAAGAGACCAGAGAACAGTAAAGGGAAAGTCAGAAGCAGTAAAGTGAAAAAAAGAAGAAAGAAAAAGAAGCATCAGTGTCTGGGAAAGAAAAGCTGAAAACAACAAGAAGGAATGAAAGCAGAGATAGAAAGGATGAAAAAAACAATAACAAAAATGAAGGGGAGGTTAAAAACAAAAAAAACAAAAAAAACCAGGACAGGTGCCAGAGCCAGAGAGGGGAAAATTATTGGGTATCCTACCAGCCAAGGACCTCACATGGTGGGTGAACAGTGACACTTTGGGCCCTAGATGGAGTTCCTATAGAACTAAGTGTTGTCTGTTCTGGGCAGTCAATCCAGAAATAGTTTGTGTAGAATCCAAAGCAGCTGGGGCATCAGAGTAGTTCTGTCCCACAGGGAAGCTGAGGATGGGACTAATGATAGTCCAGTGCTTCCCAGAACCAGCTCTGTGGGTCTGATTCCAGGTGCTAGGGTTGGTACAGCTGGCTCCCCGCTCACTTTAATGTGGCTCCGAAGAGCAGAAAGAAGCATTATAGATGGGGGCTGGCTATGCCTCTGGTCACCAAGATAGTGTAGGGTACAAGAAAAAATCTTGCACCTTTCTCTTCACCAGTAAGCGATATTCCTTTGTACTACGATCCACCCTGTGACTTCAAAGCCATCCATGAAAGTTCAAGATGACAGCACCAAGCCTGCCCAGCCTACAGGTGTCTGTCACCTATCTCATTTTGTCCCCCACCCCCACCCATCCCATACACACACATCTGTTCAGCTGCTTCTCCTAGTTAGGGCTGGCAAGGGTCACCATGGCAAGTTTACAACAGGGTTCACCTGAATCCAGGTGACAGGAATAGTATAGATAGTTCCCCACTCACTTTGATGGGACTCACAACTGTGCTGCTCCTGTCCATAAGATTCCAACCACTGGGGGTGGATGCTAGGGGGTAGGGGGTAGCCATACCTCTGGTAACCAGGGGAGTATGGAGAACAATAAAAAAAATTGCACTTTTATCTTGATATGTCACTAGTATGTTTCTGCAATACCTGTGTACTGTCTTGTGTCTGAAGCTACTCAAAAAAGCACCAGTCTGTCTCCTTTTTTTGCTGTGTCTGTTCAGCTTCCTTTCCTAGTACACATTCATTCAATTTCTCTATCCTTTCATCTGAAGCTCAGGGTTCCAGGACTATCATCTGCATGTTTCATTTAGTTCTCTGTATCTTGTAGATGGTCTGTCTAGAGTTACTACCCACTCTGCCATCTTGCTGTCTCCAAGCCATCAAGAAGGCTTTTATAACTTTAAATACAAGGGAGCTGTGAAAAGTTCATGTCAAATTCTATTATCTTTAAATCTATTTTTTCCATAAACTTTTTGAAACCCCCTTGTACTTGTCACTATCCAAGAAATTATGTTGGTTTTTCCCTTAGCTTATTTGTCCACTAAAACAAACATTTTCTAGGATAATCAAATAGATCAATAAAAACAGTAAGAAATATTTCTTATTCCATATGGAATTAATTTGTGGACTGAAGGAAAATATCTACTTGGGATTCAGATCCAGAAGTCAAGAAAGGGGGAGCTAGGTGTCAGATATCTAAAGGGAAGAGACATTAGTGGGAAAATTGGTAGCTTCTTTCTGAATTTTGAGCTTTAACAGGCTACAGAAGGGAGAAATCTAAAAGATAACTTGTTGATCGTCCCTAGACTGACAACCTTCAACCTTTGTCTCCAGGCAGGTTTAAGCAGGTGCAAACACTGGCTGTCACTGCTGATGCCTTCTTCTGTCTCTACTCTTATGTATCCAAGACACCTGTCCAAAAATTCACACCATCCCACATGTTCTGGAATTGCAACCCAACTGATGTGCCATTTATTAGGATTACAACCCCAGAGCCTGAACCCCACTCACCCAAAGAGCGTCTCCGGAAAGCCATCTCCAAGATGTGCCTGTACACATGCCCCCGAGATGAACTATCAACACCTCATAATTTCCCTAAAAGGAACAGTATGGACCAGGTGGTATGGGAAGTGATGGACAGAGTGAAAGGAGAGAAGATGGTACTCCAGAAAGACCCTGAGTTTGAGACAGAACAACAGGAAGAAACTGGGCCCTCTGTCAGGGGTACAAAGTTGCCCACAATGCTTGCAGCATCACAAACTGAGGATTTTAACCTTCAGGAATCCTGTTATCCACATTCTCTGCCCAGAACATATCAACAGTGGAGCAGAAATTCTGCACAGATAAGGAGAAAGCTATGGTGTCTACAGACCACCAATGAGGCAGTACATTCAACCAAGGATGAGAATTTTGGGAAGAGGAAAAGCAGAGCAAGAAAGAGCCTGTTTCAAAAGAATCTCATGGTCAGAGATGTCAGGAAGGTGAAATCATTGGACCTGTCTGTCATCCAGCAGAAAAGGAGGCAGAGCCCAGACACACCAGACCCTCACCAATCTCTAACCCAACAACTACAGGACTCTTTCGACTTGGAGGAGGTGAGTGGATTGGAGGTGAGGAAAAGACTGGGAGAGAAAGTCCCTGAATCATTGTCAATAAGGTTAGGATGCTGGAACAAAGGGAATACAGGCTCCCTCTCCTTACCAGACTTATCATTTCTTGGATTAAATTCAGAAATATTTGGGAGTTGGTTAATCTATACAGAGAAAGAGACATGGACCCTGATTCTTAAAATGACCAGGGTTCCAAAGCTACTGTCTAATTCCTCATCCAATCTGATCTTAACTGAAGTTCACATCAAGCATACCTACCTTATTCATTTGTGGGATCTGCACAAGAGTACAAATGGAGATCAATGTTACACAACAGTGTAGGGTGTGGCTCTGTAGGATAAGCAATGGACTGCTAACCATAGGGTCAGCATTGCAAACCCATCAGTTTTTCCTATATGGGGTCTCTATGAGTTGGAATCAACTTGACAGCAATTAACAACAACAAAGTACTTTTAAATAAAATATGATCTTTCTAACCTTGACACATATACACACATAAAGATATGGAAATCTTGGTTCAAATCTAGAATTCTGAGAGTTTTAGGACCTCTGTACTTGTTGTTGTTGTTAAGTGCCGTTGAGTCCGTTCTGACCCATAGTGATCCTGTATAGAGTTTCTGAGGAGCAGCTGGTGAGTTTGAACCACCGACCTTGCAGTCTGGCGCATTAACCCATAGCACCACACCAGGACTCCCACCACTGTACTAGAACATGGTAATTCAGGCAGAACCACTTGCCAGCCCTTCTCATACAACACCCAGATCAACATGTGTGGATACAACGTGCATATCCAAATGCCACAGGTTCTCTGCCCCACCAATAGCCATTCATTGGCCATCACTCACACATGCATACACTAGTGGAAAGGATTGTCCTTAAGAAATGAGACACCAGGTAAAACCAATGTAGGTCCCTAAAATAGACTTCAGCCACATATGCAAAATACTTTGGAATCTTATGAACAGAGCATGATCTAGAGGAGGGAATAGGGAATTGAAGTGGACACATTCCCTATCTCCATCCATTCTTCATCTGGTGGGTCCTCTAAAACTTAGGGCTCCTCTTGCCCAGGTTCACAGATGGTTGGTACTGCCATAAGTATTGGAGTCTCCTGTAAAATCTCTCAAATCCTTGCCACAAAGAGAAACTGATTATTTGCAATATAAATTGTATGTGTGACCTCTCATTGAATATAGGGCTGCACTTCAGTTCCTAGTTTTCTTACTATTTAGGTTCTTGCTACAATGAAAGAGTCCATGTCTTTCAAGTACCCTCATTCTCCTTTCCCTGCAACTGCCTGCCATCCTGCATCTGTCTTTGCTTTCCTCACAAGGACTCTGACTCAGTCCACTGGTATCTTGGTTACAGGTGCAAAGCAACAATGAGGAGGAAGAAAGCTGCTGGCCTGCCAGACACAGATACCCCCACCTCTACCAAATATCTGCTGGCAAAGATTCAGGAAGTAAGTGGGACTCCCTCTAGAGTAACAAGCAAACAAGTTGCCATCAAGTCAATCCCAACTCATTGCTATCCTACATGTGTCAAAGTAGAATTGCATTTCATAACCTATTCAGTAGCTGATTTGGGGGAAGTAGAATGCCAGACCTTTCCTCCAAGTTGCCTTTGGGTGGATTCAAACCTATTTTGGTTAGTAACTGAGTTCATTAATCACCCAGAGATAACCTCTCTAGAGTTGTTGTTGTTAAGTGCCATTGAGCCATTTTTGACTCATAGTGACCCTGTATAGGGTTTCCCAGGAGTGACTGGTGAGTTTGAACCTCCAACCTCATGTTTCAAACTGACCTTGAGATCAAGTGCTTATCCTACAATGCCACACCAGGACTCTAAAGTAATTGTCCTAAAATCTGGCTACACAATATTGGTGAGATTTTTTTTAAATACCAATGATGACATATCACATAACCATATCACATCACATAAGAGCTGATTTAAATATTCTCAGCTGAAAACCATCCTCCCCTGATAAACTGCCACAAGTCAATTTCAACTCATAGCGACCCTATCAGGTAGAATAGAACTTCTCCTTAAGGGTTTCTGAGATTATAAACCTTTATGGGAGCAATCTCATCTTTTTCCCATGGTGGTTTTAAACCACCGACCTTGCAGTTAGCAGTAAAATGCATTATCCACTGCACAACCAGGGCTCTGTGGCTGAAAACCAGTGATGGATATTTTTTTAAAAACTCTCCAAGTGATTGTAGAATAACATCTGAAAATCAGTGTTTCCCAGATTTTAGCATATATCAGAATCACCTGAAAGACTTGTTAAAATATAGTTGGTTGGACTCCAACCTTCAAGTGCCTAGTAATTTGCATTTCTAGAGGTTCACATATGATGCTAATGCTGCTGATCTGGGAATTTCAGTCTGACAACTGTGTTCTAGGGGAAATTCTGTAGTGCCTTAAAACTCACAGTGCATAGCATTAACATCCCCTGAGATTTTGTTAGAAAAGTATAATCTTAGCCCCTATCCAAAACCTATTGAATAAGAATTTTAACAAAGCCTTTAGGTAACTCGCAGGCACTTTGGAAGTTTGAGAAACATTGTTGTAAAATTATAGTAACAGATGAGAGTTGGTTAACACAGCACTCTATCTCCTAGCACTTGCTTTGATCTAGGTTCTAGTCAGTCCACCACCACTCATCTGTCATTTTGTCAAACTGTAGTGGGTTGCATGTTGCTGTGGTGCTAGGAGCTATGCCATTGGTATTTTGAATGCCAGCAGGGTCATCCACCATGGACAGATTTCAGGTGAGCTTCCAGACTCGGAAAAAGAAGCTGACTAATTCTGAATGTTTCACCACTAAAAACCTTACAAATAACAGTGAAACACTGTAAGCACTAGAGTATTGAATATTGAAACATGATGAAGAGCACCAGAATATTATCAGATATAGTGCCAGAAGCTGAACCCCTCAGCTTGGAAGACACTCAAAATGTGACTGGGGAAGAGCTACCTCCTCAAAGGAGAGTTGACCATGATGATGTAAATGGAGTAAAGCCTTCAGGATCTTCATTTGCTAATTGGACACATCTGAAAAGGAGGAGAAACAGCTGTAAACATCCATTATAATTGGAACATGGTATGTACGAAGTCTGACTCTAGGAAAATTGGAAATTGTCAAAAATGAAATGAAACCCAAAAAAATCAAATCCTAAGCATTAGAGAGCTAAAAAAAGACTAGTATTGGCCATTCTGAATCTGACAATCACATAATTCACTATGCCACCAATGACAAATTGAAGAATAATGATGTCAAATTCATCATCAAAAAGAACACTTCAAATTTTATTTTGAAGTATAACACTGTCTGTGATAGGATAATATCCATATGATTACAAGGAAAACCAGCTAGTACCACTATTACTCAAATTTACTCACAAACCACTGAAGACAGTGTTGATGAAATTGAAGAATTCTACCAACCTCTTCAGTCTGAAGTTGATCAAACATTCAATCAAGATGTATTAATAATTACTAGTGACTGGAATGCAAAGGTTGGAAACAAAGAAGAAGCACCAGTAATTGGAAAACATGACCTTGGTGTTAGAAAAGATGCTGGAGATCACAATAGAATTTTACAAGAACAATGACTTTTTCACTGCAAATACCTTTTTTAAACAACACAGAAGATGATTACACACGTGGACTTCACCATATGGAATACACAGTAATCAAATCACCTCTGGAAGGAGACAGTGACAAAGCTCTATATCATCAGCCAAAACAAGGCCAGGGGAAGTTTGTGGAACAGACCATCAATTGCTCATATGCAAGTTCAGGCTAAAGTTTGCATCAAATCTGTGTTTAAGATGATCTCTAAATTCAAGTGGGATATGTTCAAGTTCATATTTTGGCTTTCATGGACTTGTGTTCTTACTCTTCAGCTACTTCCACTACTGATGCTTCTTCTTTATTGATGAATGTGACACCATTTCTCTTCAATTTGTCATTCTCAGCATAGTAAACTATGAGATTGTCAGATTCAGAATGGCCAATACCAGTTGATTTGAGATCTCTAATGCCTATAATTTGATGTTTTTGCATTCCATTCCATTTACTCCATTTGCATCATCACCGTCAACTCTCCTTTGAGGAGGCAGCTCTTCCCCAGTCACATTTTGAGTGCCTTTCAACCCAAGGGTCTCATCTTCTAGCACTATATCTGACAAGATTCTGGTGCTCTTCATCATGTTTCAGTACTCAATATTCTAGTGCTATCTGACAGTGTTTCACTGCTATTCATAAGGTTTTCAGTGGCTAAACATTCAGAATTAGTCAGCCTTTCCTTTTTCTGAGTTTGTGGCATAGCTTCCAGTATCACAACAACATGCATGTCACCACAGTGTGACAAGTTGACAACTGGTAACTACTCAGATGTCCAAAGACTGCAAGAATGGTGCAATGGCAGGTAACATTTCGTTCTGTTATATATAATGTCTCCTTAAGTTGGAGGCCACTCAACAACAACTAGCAACAACTTTTTGCCACCTATCTGTTAGAGTCACAGAGAAGATGTCATCAAACATAATATTTTTGCCAAGATAATAGGGATTGAAATCTTTCTTGAATTAATTAATAGGTATGTTTTGGGGAGAGTGGGCAGAAGTTAAAAGTTAGGGTTAGGGTTGAGACTATGGCCAGGTATGTGCTAGGCCTAGGACTTCATTTACTGTTAGAGTTATGGTTAGACTAGGGTTCACATTAAGGCTTGGAGCAAGGCTTGGTCAAGTCTTTAATGTTATGGTTAGATTTATTTTTATTTTTTTCATGAAATCGATCTGATTTACTCTTTATTTGGAAGTTCTGTAGCTGCATTATTCTCCCTTTTTACTTTATGATCTTTTTGTTGTTGTTGCAACCATACCTCTGGTTCTCTGTTTTCAGGTTTATAGGTCTGTTTTGGAGTCCTGGTATGGCACTATAGGTTAATGCACTGAAAAGTCAGTTTGAACTGCAAAGTCAGCAGTTCAGGCACACCAGTCACTCCTCGGAAACCCTATACAGGGTCACTGTGAGATGGAACCAACTCAATGACACTTAACAAGATCTGCTTTGCTTTTCATACTTCTGTATGCCCACTAGCTGCTTATAGGGTCACTATAAGTTGAAGCAGACTAGATGGCACTTAACAACATATTGTCTTCTTGCCTGGATATTTTCTGCTGAGAAATTAGACCTTAATCTTATTAGTCCTCCTTCACAGGTAACTTTTCACTTCTCCTGAGCTACTCTCAGGATTCTTTTCTTGTTTTTGGTTTTGAAAAGTATGATTAAATATGTCTTGTTGTTTTTCTTTTGGGGTCTATACTGTTCGGAGTTTGTTCAACTTCTTGAAGACCTCCTATCTTCTCATATTTCATGATGTTAGGGAAGTTTTCTTTCAAAAATTATTTGGCAATATTCTCTATGGGGTTTTTTCTCTTCCTGTTCTTGAATTCCTATTACATGTAAGTTATTCCTCTTGATAGTGTCCCACATAAAATAGTGTCCCACGTAAATCTTAGGCTTTCTTCAAATTTTTTATTGCTGTTGTTGTTTCTGATTGTTCCTCTAGCAGATGAATATTGAGAGATTTTTCTTCAAGCTCAGTAATTTGGCTTTTCATTGATTCAATTTTATTTCTTTGTCTTTTTAGTGTGTTATCTATTTCTGAAGTCTTACTGTTAGTGTTAATCTTCTTGATTTCTAAATGCTGTTTTTGTATGATTTCCATTTTTTCTATTATTTTATGTTTGTTTCCTGAATTTTTTCATAGTTTTATTTATGTAATTTTCTCAATCTTTCGCACAATCCGTTGAAGGTGTTGAATTAGCATTCTTTTAAATTCCTTATCAAGTAGTTCTGATACTATATCTGGTGTTATATTTGTTTACTCTTTTTACTCAAGTGACTTTTTGGTCACTTATTTGAAGCACTCTGTCTTGTTTCTTTATGTAAGCTCAAATTGTCTGTTTTCTCCAAAAATGTGGTGTCATATTTCTATTTAGTTGTTAATTGTGTATTGGTGTGTTCTGAGGCTCTCACCACCTGTGTCCTGGTGGATGTTGTAGAGCATAGACGTGTGAACGCAGTTAGTTCTCTGTTCACTGTTTGTGTATCACAGTTCAGGATGGGTTCATTCACCTCCAGAAGTAGGAGCATTTATTATACCAGGAGTCAGACCCTGGTATAAAAAGCCAGATTGCTTGGTTAGTGGGGACTGGTACTGGCTTTCCCCCCAGCTACCAGGAGGGCACAGGAAAAATGGAGAATTATACCCCCTTGCCACCAACCTCCAGTCATATCCTGTGCCTCCAGGTCACTGTAACAACAGCCATTCATAAAAGCTCAAGATGGTGAAGCCACCACATCATGCCAGCCCCCAGTTCACCTGTTTCTCTTCTCTGTCACTGTTCCTGTTCAGCTTCCTCTTCCAGTCAGTACCCAGTCCACCTC